GGGTTTGAATCGCCAGCCTTCTGGTTAGCAGTCAAATGCCTTAGGCACTATGCTACCAGAGTTACCAATGAGGTGGGTAGGAGATAGAAAAGAATCAAAGATGACTTCTAGTGTTCAGGCTTGGGTAAATGGATGGATATGATACCTTATTTTGAAGTAGGAAATGAAGAGATTTTTTGGGGGGTAGGGAATAATGAGTTCAATTTCTAGAAAGGTTGTATTAAAAGTGCTTGCAAGCTATCCATGTAGATTACAGACTGTGGCTTGTTTAGTCCCTCAAGAGAAGGAAGGTCCAAGAGAAGGTGACTCCAGATAGCTAGAGCTTAGGAATGTTGAACCTTTATTATCTGCCTCCAAAGCTTGTGCTTTCTTTTAGAACCCAAGTTGCTTCTATAAAAATTTTTTTTTTTTAACTTTAAGTAAAAAAATAATTCTGCAAGTATTTGATCCCGTTTTGTGTCAAGCAGTGAATGTACCTCAGTAAACAGACAGATGTAGTCCCTGTCCTCACAGAGCTTAGAGTGTAGGGAAAAAGAACAGCAATTCTAGTACAGATAGTCAAGCACTATGATAGCCACAGAGTACCTCTTCTGTGCTCAGGAGCATGTAACTCAAAGGAATGCTTTCTGAGGGAAGTGATATCTAAGCTGCTGTCGTTGTTTTGTGCCGTCAAGTCAGACCCGACTCATAGAGACCCCTCCTTGGGTTTCTGAGGCAGTATCACTATGGAAGTAGATTGCCCAACTTTCTTTGAAAAATGAAAACAAGTTAGGAAAAAGGTAATGGCAGAAGGTTCCAGGCAAGCAGAGGGAACAGATTTCTCCTACCTGGATTTCCATGGAAGGGAAGATGAGAGAAGGGCAGTGTATTTGAGTAATAATGTCTATGCTTAGCCTGTGGAACATGCCTGTCTGTGTTTGGGTTTCCCTACAGGTGAGGCAGTCCCAGCCCATTGCTGCATCCTGTCAGCCTGCAGCCCCTTCTTCACAGAGCGCCTGGAGCGGGAGAAGCCAGCACAGGGTCGGAAGGTGGTGCTGGAGCTGAGGGGCCTGAAGATCAGGGCCGTTAGGAAGGTGGTGGGCTTCCTCTACACCGCCGAGATGGAATTATCTCTAGAAGAAGTCCATGATGTGCTGTCTGCTGCCCGTCAGCTCCGTGTATCAGAGCTAGAATCCCTTCAGCTAGAGGGTGGAAAGCTGGTGAAGGCCACTCAGGGCCGAAGACTGAACCGGGAGTGTTTACAACCTCCAATCTCTGCCAGGGTGGTGGCACCCAGCCGCCACCCTCGAGCTCCACTGCCTGTTAATCAAACTCCATGTTCTCCTGGGACAGTGAGATTAAAGTCCTCAGGGAAGGAGGAGGGGCCCCAGGAGAAGACTGGTCAACAGAATGCAGAGAACTTGTCTAGCACACTTCTGCTCAAAAGGAGGCCCAGAGCCTGCCCAAATCAAGAAAAAAGCTCTTCACCATCAAGCCATAGTCAAGGGCCTAAGGAGAACAAGAGTGACCCTGACCTTGGCCCTACAGCTCTTTCCCCACCTACGTTGTACCCCTCTGTGAAGGAAAGACTGTTGCCCAGAAAGATCAGGCTAAGCCGCTCAAAACCGTCTCCTGATGTGTGTACATCCAAGAGTCCCAGCATTTTAAGCAGACCCAGCTCAGTACCCACAGCCCCTGGGCGGCGTCTTTGGCGACAGAGGAGTATAAAGAAAGAAGTGCCAGAGGACAAGCAGAATCCAGGGAAAGCCAGTCCTCTGCCGAGCACTCCAAGCCCCTGTGGTCTTGGAAAGACAGCTGGGAGCAAGAAGCGGAGCCCTGAAGGCAGGACCCTTAACTCAGACTCTGCAGAGGAAGGGCAGGTTGGGAGAGTGAAACTTCGGAAGATTGTCAATGGAACCTGCTGGGAGGTGGTTCAGGAGCCTCCCCTTAAAGACTCTCAGGATACCCTTCAGATCCCAGAATCTGGGAGAGACTTAGAGAAGCCTCCAGGGACTCAGCCATCTTCTGTTGTTAACGAAGAGGGAATGTCATCTGCTCAAATAGACCTATGTCAAGACTCCCCTGTGTGCTCTAGGCTACAAGACATTCTGCTGTCTGCTAGCCACTCCCCAGACCACCCAGTGGTGAAGTCTGAGTTTGAGTCCAGTCCAGAGCTGGTAGGGAAAGAACCTGTGTTAGACAATGACTGCAGAGAGCCCTGTGCATTTGACACAGCCCTGCTTGGGCAACCTTGTGAAGCTGAGGAGTACCGAATCACAAGTGCTGCTGCCACCAGTGAACTGGAGGAGATCCTGGACTTTATGCTCTGTCGTTCTGACACTGAGCCACCTATAGGGTCTCTGGAGAGTCCCAGGGCTGAGGGCTGCAGGACCCCCAGTTATCACCTGACAGAAACAGGAAAGAACTGGATGGAAGAATGGTGTTTGCCAGATGTGGAACTCTGGCCCAGGGAGCTCACAGGATTGGAAAAGGAACCTGTCTGTGAAAACAAAGAGCCAGTTGAGCCCCTGAGCCTCCTTGTCATGTCCTCTGAGAACAAAGAGCCAATCGAACCCTTGAGTCCACTTGTTATGCCCTCAGAGATGAGCGGAGCCGAGGCACTTTCAGTGGGAGGCTCTTGGACTCCGGACCTTGAAATTACAGGCTCCCAGCCACTGGATGGTCAAAAAGACAAACTTCTCCATATTGACTCTCTTGACCTCCCCGCTTCCTGTTCAGACTGGGTGGAGACAGGGCTGGAAGTATCCCTGTTTGCTCCAGAGGCAGGCAAGGAGGTAACTGGTAACTCTGAGCTGCTAGGGCCACTTCCCGTCAACTCTGAAGAGGAAGAGATTGATGTAGTGGATTGGACAGCAGAGGGGAGGCTGGTGCCCACCAGTGTTCCCTCTGTATGGCCTGACCCTTCCTCAGAGTCTGAAACAGAGGTAGATATATTAACATAGTGGAGAGAGGAGGGCAGGTTAGGGGCCCTGGGAAGGTGGAAAATGTTGGCTAGCAAAAGGTATCCTGGCAGAGGGGCTTCCTCTTGGCACAAGAGGCAGATATATCCTAGCTCTTTGTAGGTCTCCTCCTCCCTTCTCAGGGAGCCAGACAGAAGTGTACCATGGGTAGAAAATAATGAACTCTTCCTGCAATCTATTTTCCAGTCAGTCAGAAAATGAAAACTATAAACTACAGTCTCTAATTCCAGCAGGCCATAGGTAACAAAGCCAGGTCTCCCATGTGATTTCATGCTAATTCATGAAAAGTTGAGCAAGAACACCCTCTGGTATGGGTTCTATTAAGAGAAAATGTTCCAGAAGATGAAATGGTGTTGGTAGCAGAACACTAGCAAGTGGTAGTAAAAGGACATTACCTAGAACCTAACGTGTATGGAGCTTCCTCACTGCCAGTGTGGGAAGTCTAGCCATAACCTCTGCAGGGGCCTGGAAGAGAGACTTCTATAATCACAAGAAATGAACTGAAACAGTTGTTTTTTTACAAAGTAAATTATTTACTTTTCCACCATAGTTTTTGCTCGTGTTTTATATGCTCTACAAGTTCCAGACTACATAGTGACCTTGGGCTATGAAAAATAAAAGGGACTAGTCCCACCAGGCTGGCTTTTGTCCATCCCTCACCATATGATTAAGTTTCACTCTATTACTCAAGTACTTTATCAAGAACTTTTATTAAACCAAATCCACAAACTTGCAGGACCTTACTAGAGGGTTGCCTCACAACTGAACCTTCATTTCTGGAAGGAAAGAAACTGTGGCTTCAGGCACATGACTTAAGTTTAACCATGTTCCGTCATAAATGTTCCAACATTACCAGGGACAGAGGGCTGCAAATGTGAGAAGGAAAAAAAGATTAGAGAAGGGACCCAAGCAATCATAAAGCCCAACGAAGACGTGTCCCTCCCCTCACCCCTGAAGCCTAAGGATCATATCTACCCCCAGATGTTAAGTGCCTAACATGCCAAAGCACTGCGTAAAGCGTTAGAAAGACACAAGTCAAATTCTTGTGACCAGGAGTGACGGCACTCCAATGCAGTGTTACAGATCACACTGGACCACTAACAACACATTGGTAACAATCAGGTCTTCAAACCAGCTAAAGGACCTGCTAAAAAATGTGCATTCCCACCCCCAGATACATTAAATTGGAATCTACATCTTACACAGATCTGTAAGATCCCAGGGGATCTTGTTAAAAATGTAGATTCCAATTCAGTGTATCTGGTGGAAAGGAACATTATCAGCAGGAGATCAATCAACGGAAGACTGTAACAATTGAGAGGAAGAGAAAGCACACATGAGGTAACACAAAAAGATTTTTGCCAGTTAAAGGTAAAAATTACTCATATGAATATAAAAACACATGTCAAAGATTTTAATTCACCAATGAGGGAAGAAACCAATAAAATTCGCAACTCGTCGAAGGAATTAAAATATAGAACACCATTAGGCATGTGGAGATTAATTTTCAAATAAGTACAAAACTGGTCCATATCCACAGAGCAATAATCAACTGCATCGCCAACGGGCATAAATTGCTTTTCTAGAAAAACTCATTTACATTATCGTTGTTGTTTGCGAACGAGTCGGACCCGACTTAGACTTGCAGTGACCCCTCCTTGGGTTTGCGGGGCAGTATCACCACGAAAGTAGATTGCCCCATCTTCCTTCCGAGGAGTGGCTGGTGGGTTTGAACCGCCAGCCTTCTGGTTAGCAGTCAAGTGCCTTAAGCACTATGCTACCAGAGCTCCTACATTACCTTAGTAGTCTACAACTTGGCTCAAGGAATGGAACACGGAGTTAATGCTGAACGGCATACTACACAGAAGACTAACTTTTTGCCCGTTTCAATTTTTACCTGCTAATAAAAAAAGGAAGGGGCATTCCCAAGAGGAAATCCTGAGATCACGTTAAGAGTTTAGAAAGTGCAAATCCCGTGTGGTTACAGTTTTAACGCTAAGGGCACCATCAACACACCCTCTTCCCTTCCCCATCTCCCGTTTCAAACCTCAGCCTGAGGACTTCGGCCCAAACCTCCCTATGAAAGGTACTTCTTCAGCTCCTCCACCACCTCCTGAGGCTCAGGGAACTTGAGTTTGCGTGGAGGCCCCTTCTTAATCCCAGTCCAGAGCTCCGCACCTGTGCAAGGGCCGAACAAAGCAAAATTACTTCGAGACTCACGAGCAGCTCACAGTCACCAAGGGGCCGCGGTTCCGGAGACAGCTCTTTCTCGATCCGACCCCACGCCCCTCTCCCCCGGACCCACACTCACTGCTGCCGTCAGGGCGCAGCAGCTTCACCTCGAAGCTGCCCCTCCGGGGCTTGGCGGGGTTCACCTGCACTGAAAGTTCGGGGGCCACCTGGCGCAGCGCCTGGCTCAGGGCCGCGGCGTTGCGCCCGTAAACGCGTCAGCTCGTGCTAGAAAAAGACCGGAAGGTTAGAGGCAGGCGGCGGTCCGCGACGTCCTCGGCCCCCCACGACTCTCCCAGGCTTCACCAATGCTCGATGACGACGACCGTCTCCTCCACCGCCTCCTGACCGCCATCCGATTTCTCTCGCTTATCCGCCGCCGCGACCACCGCTGCCTCAGCCTTCCGCTTTCTCCCGCGGGAAGCCATAGCGCCTGGAGCCCGACAAGGAAGAGCCCACTTGAGGCCTAACGCTAAGCTGAACTGGATAATGGGGGCCTAGCGCCGCAGTCCAGGCCGCAGCCAAAAACTTCCGCTCCGCGTGGGCTGCAGCTGCAGATTGGGCGGAAAGAGTAGCCCGGGGCGCACACGTGGTCTGGAGGCGGGACCTTCGGGCACAACCACTGCAGGTGGAGAGGGGTACCCAGAGCACCAGTGCTGGGGCGGGGAATGCAGCGAAGGGGGCGGGGACTAGGTAGTTCCAAAAACAAGCGTTGAGGCTAAACAGACTTGCACTTCTCAGGCTGACGGTGTGCGCCACCGCCCGGTGACCCCAAGCCCTCCTCCCTAGGACCCGTGGACCACCTAGTCCACACCTAATCTGGCGATCTGTACTCTGGGGCTAAGGAGACTTATTAGCGGCCAGTCAGTCCCGACTCATGGCAACCCCTGCACAGCAGTGAGTTGCCTGGTCCTGACCAGCTCCATGACAGACCTTTGGGATCCTTCAGGTTTTCCTTGCTGATTTTCATAAATTGAGATCACAAGGCCCTTCTTCCTAGCACCATAGTCTGGAAACCTGAAACCTGTTGAGCTTCAGGGCAGCAGGGCGGGATAGGGGAGGGCAGTGCATAGGGTACATTGTCTGGAAAGGAACCCAGATCTGGAAGGAGAGACTTCTACCATGTTGCCACCACTGACCCCTTAATGGAAATTAGGCTCCCACTGCTCTTGCCAATCCTGAGGACAAATGCCTGGCATTAAAAGGAATCAAACTTTGCCTGGCCTTTCAACACAAAAGAAATACACAAAGGCACAATCAAAAGGAAATCGCAGTTTTTTTATTATGGAAAATGATTAGCTGATGGTGGGCAGTAGGAGGGGTAATTGAAATTGGGTTGTTGTAATAGAAATCCCAATCTTGCCCAGGGTTCCCCAGCCCCAGGCCTCACCAAACAATGCCTCTACATCCCTCCCTCAGTCTCCAAAAGGTAAGGCATTATTCAATACTGTCCTCAATGATGAAAACTAAGTAAAGGTCTCTCTGCAGGACCAGTGACAAAGTTAGGCTTATACTTTTTAAAGAAGGCCATAGACCAAGCCAGAAAGGCCTAAGGAAGCGAGGGTCTTTGAGACCTATAAAGAAAAATCTTAGTGCTGCCTCTGCCCTGGCATAGGATGTCAGTGTTTAATCTAAGCAGGCTGTACAGACCCACTAATAGTAATGACCACAGACAGTGGTAGAGACGGGTGACTGGCAGGCAGCAGCTGACATGCTGACCCACCCCAGGGTAAGAAGAAACAAACAAAGGAAATCCAAACTTGAGGGCAAACCGTTTCCTCCTCTGTTAAGTGGGATTTCTTTTCCATCCTCTAGTGAAAGAGAAGGTGGGCGGTGGCAGGGGAGGCCTCCTCCAACTGTGCAGGACAGTTCCCTTGTTGCCTCTTTAATATCAGAAGCCGTACCCTGCCTTCCCTAGGCACAAAGAAACGAACAATAAATAAGAAAGGGCCACAGCCTCAGGCAAGGTTGGAGAGGCTGGAGGCTGCAGAGGGTCAGTCAGGGCCTCCTTGGTGCCTGGGAAGGGTCTGGATGGAGAAGGGGCACTAATAAGGCAGGGTCCTATTTGTCCTTCTTGCTTTCTCCATCTGGTGGTGTGGTGGGAGTTGGGGCCTCAGGCTGCTCCTCAGGGATATGGTCTCCAGCCTTTGACAGCTTCTTGGCCTGCTGGTACAGCTCATTCAAATTGAATTCTCGGATCACATTCTCCTGCATGAAAGAAATGCACACATCAGGTTCAATTTGGAAGGGAGAGTTAAGAGCTCCTTGTGGGAAACCAGTTGCTATCAAGCTGACTCTGACTCATGGCCACCCCATGTGTATCCCCAAAATACTGGGATACATTGGGTTTCCATTCACTGATTTTTCAGAAGTAATTGGCCAGGCCTGACTTGCAAGGTGCCTATGAGTGAACTTGAACCACCAACCTTTCAGTTAGTGATACAGCATATTAACCATTTCTAACACACAGGGACTCCATTTAGACAGTTTAAGGAAGGAGGAACCAAAGGAGAGAAACCTGCCCTAACCTTCCTGCTTTCTGGGTAGCTAGAGAAAGTCAACAAACATTTTAGACTCGATGGTAAACAACAACAACAACATTATGTTCCAGGAGCCCTGGTAGCATAATGGTTGAAGCCTTCAGCTGCCTGAATCAGTAAAATATTAATTACCCTGGAAAATAAAAAGTGGCTATTACAGTTAAGAAAGAAGTTCGAGTGGTGTAGTGGTTAAGGCACTTGGCTGCTAACCAAAAGGTCAGTGGTTCAAACCCACCAGCTGCTCTGTGGAAAAAAGATGAGGCAGTCTGCTTCCATAAAGGTTTACAGCCTTGGAAGCCCTCTGGGACAGTTCTACTATGTCCTAAAGGGTCCCTATGAGTTGGAATCAACTCCATGGCGGTGGGTTTGGATTGTGTGCCAATCACTTTGTCAAGAGTTACACATACATTATTTAGTGCAATCTCCAAAACAACCCTGTGAGTCAGGTGTTACTGTCTCCAATTTCCCAACAAGGAACCTCTAGAGGTACACAGCCTCAGAGATAAGGCTTACATATAACTGTTCCCAGTGCTAGCAGGCCTGGGACATAGGAGAAGCATAATATACATGTGCTAATGAATGAAAAGGAGCTCTGGTAGCGTAGTGCCTAAGGCACTTGACTGCTGACCAGAAGGCTGGCAGTTCAAACCCACCAGCCACTCCTCGGAAGGAAGGTTGGTTAATCTACTTCCATAGAGATCCTGCCTTGTAAGCCCAAGGAGGGCTCGCTATGAGTCGGGTCTGACTCGACAGCACATAACAACAACAACAATGAATGAAACTAGTAGACAGGCAAGAGAGCTGAGAATCAAATCCAGGTTGGGTTCCAAAGCCCATCTACTGTAACATACCCTTCTCCAAACCACTTGCCCATCCTTTCAGGTACCTCAGAGAAAGTCCAAGAGACAGCGCGTCCTTTCTTGTCAATCTGTGGCCGCCGCATTACCTCCTTGCCACCTCGGAATAGGATCAGGGTAGGGAGCTGCTTGGTAAGGGGCGATGTGCTCACTTTATACCTACAGGGCCCAGAAATGACTGTGTAAGTGTATCCATGTACATCACATAAAGCAAAGACCCGCCCAGCTCCTTACATACCGTCTACTAACATCAGTGTAGCGGCCAACATCCACCTTCCCAAAATTTAACCCCGTACAGTTGTACCTGAGAAGAATATAGCATTTAACATACTGAAAGAAGAGAACAGCTCAAGGGAAGGGAAAGGGGCCAACTTTGGGTGGGGCAGTGAACAAAATCCAGGCCAAAGCCTTGCGGGGGTGGTACAGCATCACAGTGTCTCCCATCATCCCTCCCTCTACACTACTCACTTGAGGGAGAGATCTGCGTAGATAGGAGCAAATGACTGGCAGTCATTAGACCAGTTGGCAAAGAACTCCACAATCCAAGTGACCCTCTTGTCCCGCTCCAGCTCCTCCTGCCACACAGGGGAGGAACAGCGAGCTGGACCATACAGGCTCCTGGGAAAGCTCAGACTTTAGTGTTTAATTCCTTTCTGACTTCCCCTCTTCCCTCTTCTCTAGCTCCTGTAATAAGCCACAGTGCCCTTGACTTCCATCCCATGCTCCTCCTCCTGGTAAACAGAGAGCACAACTATGAAGCACCCCACACACACCCCCGCCCCGCAGCCCAGATGCAGGAGGAAGAAGTACTCACATCAATGGTTTTATCACTGAAGTACTTGATGTGCTCTGGGCCCATGTACAGGGGTGGCTTGCACGTCATCAGGAACACTAAACACAGAAAGGAGATGTCACAAGAAGTCTCTAAGGCCTTGGGCAAGGGGGTTTACTTCCAAACCCACTCAAAGACTTCAGCTCCCCAAGAATACTCACTCTGTGGACATATTTGGATACATTCCCTTCGTCTTAACATAAAGCCTCTGTACACTCTAGTCATCTGAGCTACATACATCATTAATTAGGTGAGAGATATGCAATAAGGGTAGAGAAACTGGTTTGGAATTGGAATTTGGCTCCCACAACCAACCCTCTTTACAACATAATCTTAGAAGGGATCTAAAGAAAGGCAATGTCCTCACCTATGCAGAGCGTGATGTAAAGCAGGCCCATGCGAATATCCAGGCGGAAGAAAAGAATAGTGTTGGCCACTTTACTAAACATGAAGATGTTGCCTATATGTTGCTCCACGGTGACTGAAAAACAGATGTCACAGGTCACAGTAAGCTGTAGGCACCGATATCCTGTGATTTGTCCTTCTTCCTAGGGCAGTTTGAGAAGGTGGTGGGGATCCCAAGATCAAGTTCAGCCTTGGCATGGATTGTGGGACTAGTTCACCAAATACCACCCCTCTCATCACACAAAGGAAAGCGCCCCCAGAGGGCGCTGTGCCTCAGCAGCAAGAGACTGAGCTACACTTACTGGAGCGGCGGTTCTTCATCATCACGATGGCGCTGAGAAACATCAAGATCTCCACTTCTCTCTGCCACAGAATCAAACGACAGGAATGCCATGAGGACAGGAGGGCAGGAGCACCAAAGGACAAGGATGTCAAATACCACAGAAAACCCAGGAGTGATGCGAACAATGAGATAACTGGAGTCTGCTCGGGTGGAATGGGGAAAACACCCACCCCTGCCACAACCTGACTGGGTGCCTCTCACCAAATCACTTAGCCTCTGAGCTTTGGTTTCCTCAACTGAACACCCATTTCAAACTGCTAGTGCGGGAGCCCTGGTAGCATAGTGCCTAAAGCATGTGACTACCAACCAGAAGGCTGGCGGTTCAAACCCACCAGCCAGCCACTCCTCGGAAGGAAGACTGGGCAATCTACTTCCATAGTGATACTATCTCAGAAATCCGAGGGGTTCGTATGAGTCAGAACCGACTCGCCGGCAGTGACTGACTGACTGC